CACCCGTGGAGGCCTGGGTGTGGGTGGGTGCGTGTGCCTCTCTACCAGGTTAACTTTTAGCGTGTGGGGCTTTCACGTGCTCTTTCCTGCATGCACATGTATCATGTGTACCCTGGAGGAGATAATGAAAGCAGGTGTCAGCCTCACAAGGGCTTTGCGGAAGGCTCTTATTGCTGACAGCAACCTCCATCTTTGTGTACAGCATGTCTGGATGGCGTGTCCCTCCGTGTTTGTGATGTTGGTCTGAGTTGGAGGTGGGAAATGGTCTGGCTATGCCTGTGTTCCTGTGTCTGGGTCTCAGGGTATTTGTGAGTCCAACTGTGTTTGCGTCTGTGTCTGGCTGTGCACGAGTCTCCGTTGTTTGTGCAGCATGTGTAGCTGCTCGGTGGCTTCTGACAGCCAGGACAAAGGCCTTCATAGATGGACAGGTGGTGTGGAAGACACTCCTGCTCCGGGAGTCCTCAAAGGGCCTCTCGGTGCTGGAACACGACAGCAGGACAGGGGGCGGGGCTGGGAGAGAGCAGAAGAGAGGGCCCTGGCCCAAGGAAGGCGTTGCTGGGAAAGTCTCAGGGTGGGAGCCGCATCACAGCTGTGGGAAGGGGGCACCACACCAGTGAGCACAGGGCTCTGGGAGGGGGGGGTAGGTGTGAGTTCCGGACCGTGAAGAAAGGTGGAGGGTTCTCAACATCACCCGGCTGCCCCACCTCCATCCAGACGCACCCCAGCTCCCAGGAGACCAAGGGAGATACCCTGCGGACCACCCCAGCAGTCATAACTTTCCCTCTTCCCACTGCTGTGGAGATACGCCTGGGTCAGGAGTCAGAGAACTGATTCTAGCCCAGGCAGAGGGTGACTCAGTGACCTTGGGAAGTTTATTTTGCCTCTCTGAACCTCACGTTCCTTGTTCCTCATTGGTGCAATGGAGACCTCAGGACCCTGCCTTGACATGTGGCTGTGAATGGGGAAGGTGCTTGAGCCACTCGAGGATTAGCTGTTACCTGAAACCCTTTCCAAGGCTCTTAAGGTGCCCCTCTACTTCCCCAGACACGGCTCAGAGCAAGATTCAGGCCCTGGTTAGAGGAATGGGGGGATCTCAGGAGCCAGCTGGGCATGGCCAGCACTTCCCCAACTTGGCTTCTTTCCTTTCCTGGTTCAGGGGCACCTCTGGCCTGTAAGGCCTCTCCTTACTAGGAAGCTTAGGGCTCCCTCCTCCCAGCATCTTCTTCCAGACATCCTGGGGAAGGACAGACCACTGCCCTGCGGCAGAGTGGGCTAAGAGCTGGGGACCCAGCTCCCTTTTGGGAGGAAATACCTCTTTACTTCATTTCCCCTCTGCCTTTTTCTCCAGCTCTGTCCTGACCCAGCTTTTCTCAGAGCCCCTCCTGCTGGCCCCTGACTTTGGTGAGGGAGGGGAATGGAGCACGGGGACAGATGCCAATGTGCCATGTGTGAGGTATGGGGTGTCCTCCTTGCTTCCACCCCTGGGGCCGGGCTATGACCTCAACAAGTACTCGGGGTCAGGCGCAGGTCGAGGGTCTAACTACCCCGGAGGGAAGGCGCTCACCTCCTGAGCTGGAACGTGTGGGTGTTAACGCACAAGGTGTCTTCCCCAAGCCCCAGGCGGCCCCATGGCTGGCACGGAAGCGCCTGCAGGGCACGAGGACCGCCCTGTGGATTCCCACCGAGTCCTCAGATCCTGCGGAGCCAGGGGAGGCGACGAGGGGGCGCCCGACTGCGTGATGCGAGTGCCCTGCTCCGCAGCGGGTCAGGGACAGGGGGCGGGGGACTGAGCTCCGTCTCTGAGGAAGCAAGGACATCACAGCCCTCTCAGCTCAGGGTCTTTGGACCTGAGGACCCCCACTTTCCTCCTCTGAGGACCGGAGCGCCTCCTCCTGGGGGGTGTTGGGGCCACGGCCTCTCCCCTGAGATCGAGGGAACGCGCCCACTTCTCCACATTCGCTCCTCTGAACCCGAGGCGCCCCTCCCCCGGGAGAGCGCAGGACGGGACTCCCCGCCAAGCAGGGGGGTGGGACCGAGCCCCTCGCTGCGGCCTGCAGCAGCCCCCGGCGGCGGGGGTTCCAGCGGCTCGGCCCGGGCCTCCCGCCGCGCGGCCTGCCAGCCTGCGCCCCTCCCGCCGGCGCCGGGGACCCGGCTGCCCGCCGCGGTCCCCAGCCTCCCGCCCGCACAGGGTCGCGGCTGCGGCCGAATGGAGCCCGGGGCGCCTCTGTCTCTTCCCCTTCCCAGGGCCGCAGCCCGGGCCGGGCGGACTCACCCGCGGGCCTGGGCCGAGGGCGTTCTGGGCTCGGCGTTCCTGTGCCCGCGGCAGCCGCTGCAGCTCTGCTCGGACGCGGCTCCTCGTCCGCCGCCGCCGCCGCCGCCGCCGCAGCTCGGGGGTGGGGGGCGTCACGTGACCGCGGAGCGCTCCTCCCCGGCGCCGCTCCCCCAGTCACTGCGGAGCCGCTAG